AACGGTCCCCCCCAGCTCTCCCGGGTGGATAATTAGGCGCTGTGAGCGAGCGTGTCAGCGAGTGCGAGCGAGCAGGCGAGCCATTCTCCCTTGTTTCAAGTTTGTTTGCTAAATGTCTTCTATTAGATTATGCTCCTTCATTCCCCCTCCAACCTTATCTCCTTCTGTCTCTTCTCCCCTGGCCCGTCACACTCGATTTAGGCACGAGTTTATCTGGCAAACAGTTTGCCGACTTTTATTTACCACGGGTTCTGGGGCTGCAAGCACACTAGCGCCAGTGTTTGCTTTTGTTAATAGTTATCTTCTTCTTGTTCTTTAGTGTCTGCTTCCTCCGCCCCCCTCTCGACTTGGGTTGAGGGGGGGAGGGATAAAGAGAAAAAAGGGGAGTCTTGTCAGCTCCTTGTGGACTTGCGGAGAGGGGGGCCCTCCGCTGGGGGTCTTCCTGCTGCTCCGCTTGCTCTGCCCATCCCCCACCATCGCCTCTCTGGGGGCGCCCCCTCCCTCTCTCACCCCTTCCCTCCCTCCCTCTCTTGTTCTAGTCTCAGAATATCCACCGCCCAGAGCTGCCTAAAGCCGGGGACTTGCCTGACACCCCCCCCCCATCTCCCTCCAAGCCCCCATTATGCGAAGCTGATCCTACTCGGAACAGCCTCAAATCCCGCCTGGTCTCTGTTTGATTAGATTGCCAACCCGGGGTAATCCTTTGATTTGGTGGAGTGTCAATTACCTTTCTCTAAACACACATTTACAGAACCGGCGAACTTGTTGGTTTAAATCAATGCAGATCGCTCTTGATAAATGGACTATCTTGGTGCCCTCCGGAGCCCCCTCTCCCAAGGCCTTCACGCACTCTCCTTCCAGGCCCCTCCCTTTGCCCCGCACTCACCTCGACAATAAACAAAGTCCCTTCCAGGTGTGAAGCCAACGGGGGAAAGAAAAAAGTACCAGCTGAGGGGAGCCAGCCCCCCTTGCCTATTCATTCGCTCCCCGGAGCCTAATTAAATTTGGCAGATCCTTGTACACACAATCAAAACAGCTTCCTCCGGTGTAGCAAACCACCGAAAACCGCATTAGCAGCCCTCGCTACTGCCAAATTAAATTGTTTCCCACCTCCTTTTACAAGTGTCTAAAACCTGACACTTCGGGCTCTCTCCTCCTTCCTTCCTTTCCACTCCACACCTGTAAGTTTACTGCCTTAGTGAAGAAATTAAGGGGGAAAATGCAAAGGAAAAAAAACCAACTAGGACTGAAGCTCAGCGGTAGAACACTTGCCTAGCATGTGTGAGGTCCCAGGTTCGACTCCCTCTCCTGACCAAAAAAAAAAAGTTTATCTGTGATTTTGTCCTGGCCAGTCTTCTAACAGGCCTTTCAGACCCAGGAGATCTGCAATTTTTCCCCCCGCTGGATTCTGTGATGCTCTTTGGTTTTTCTGACATAGAAGGCAACAATTCCCTTCTTCTTTCTCCTTTCCTTGCCCTCTCCTAACATTCTTTTTCTTTAGGATTTCATATTAATTGTAACGCACACAGTCCTCAATGCCAGGCCCCATGTCCCATCTGGTCAGCACTGGCTCCGATTTGAGCACCGTCAAATGCTGGGGGCTTTGCTGTTCATGATGTGTGTCACTGTCACATTATTATTATTATTATTATTGTCTAAGTTAACTCCACCCTCAGCTCCCACCCGTGCGTAGCTTAACACCTTGCAAGTCCTCACTAATTTCCTCAGACTGGGATTTTTTTTTTCCTTTTTTCTTTTCCTGCTCAGGTCCTTTCCCTGTTAGTTCCTGGGTCCTTCTAGCCTTTACTTGTTTGAGAAGGGAGTGAAGAGGAGAAGAATTTAAATCTAACAAGGTCCAGAACTGTCCAGGTGAGCAGCCCTTGGCCAGGACCCCCCCCCCTTCCTCCGCATCGGTCGGTCGGTCGGTCGGAGAATTCTCACAACCAACAATCCTCATAACTCAGTCTTAACAAGGATAAGAGGGGGTGTGTGTGGGGAGGGGGGAACCCACGAACCGTCTCATGAATATCAGCCCAAGGGGAGCAGGAGTGAGCTGTTCAGAGATGAAAGTGCACAGAAATAAAAGCTCAATTTAATCTGCTTTAAAACCCTTCAACTTAACGTTTGTGCTTCAAACTCTCAGAGTGAGGACTGATTGCGGATAAATAGTTTCTTACCATGCCTGGAAGCTATTACAGCCCTCTCCAACACAGTTTCCCATTCAGCAGCCCTAGTTTTCATTACTAGCTCTAATAAGTCTTAACATTATTAAATGCCAAGCGGACGATAGGGAGGGAGACGAAGAAGAAATAAAAAAAAAAAAAAAAAACGGACTCAGGGAGGGATCTCTCTTTAGCGCTTAAAGAGGAGAGCTCTTAAACCCTTCTTTGGTGGCTCCCCGCCACGAGAAGGGGCAGCCCCTGGAGAAAGCATTTGTCAAAAGCCAAGAGACCAAAACAAAGTTGTAGGGGTGCCCCGCTCCTGCTGCTCTGCCCCAGGGGTAGCCCGGCCTCTCCCAGCCCGCATGGATAGCTCAGGTGGAAGCTGGAAGGATTTTATACCTCTAACTTCACCACGCAACTGATGTCTCTCGGGCTGGGGGGGGGGGCGGGGGGAAGAGGAGATTTACCCAAATGCCCAATGGCAGGCCAGCACTCAAACATTTGTCCACAGATGGGCAGAGTGCTCCTGCTCATCTAGAACCAGTTACTTCCAGTCACGGCACAGACCGCACTCAGGGGTCTTTTTTTTTGGTGGGGGGGATCCAAGCCTCTTGACTCACGAAGGCAGACACCTATGTGACCAACTAGTTACACCAGGACACACTGCATATGGCCCTGAGGACTCCAACCACGCCAGACCCTGCTGGCCTGAGATCTCGGGATTTCTGCCGCTCTCCAGCCCCGCAGGCCAGCCAGTCAGCCAGCCAGCCACACCTGTCTGGTCAGCCTTCCCCACGGGGTCGCACACTGGCTCTACTTTAAGCCCCTGGGTCACTCGGAGTCCCCTGGTTCTCAGGCAGAGAAAACCTCTCTCCAGCGAAGCGGATCCTTTTTGCTGGAGTTTGTGAGCCCAGCCCAGCTCAGGAAGTGTCCCCCCGCAAAAAAAAAATCTCCCTTGTGTCAATGAACTCCCCCAAACCACATGTGCATGCCCTTTCTCTTCCCCTTCACCCTTTCTCTTCCTTTTCGCAAATGAAATTGACTGGCATGTGTTCCCCCCCCCAACACACACACACATACACGCGCGTCTCTAAACGCAAACCTTCCCCTTGGGGTAACTCTCTGAGGAGTGGCGGGTGTACATTATTCATCTAGATAGCATCATGTCCACACGCTGTCACTTGCATTAAAATAAAATAAAATAAAAGTAGCAATTCTTCTACGCAACTGAAATAAACATCTCTCTTCCTCAGGGGTACTAGAGCTCTGGGCCAACCTGTCAAGCTGAGGGGCTACTGGGCAGTACAGGGAGGGGGCTGCCTCATCCCGCAGGCTTCCCCCCCCTGCCCCGCCCCTCAGACAGGCCCCGCACAGCGGGGTGCCAGGCCCGGCTCCCTCCCTTTCTTCTCTGGCCAGCCTTTTGTCCCCCCTTGGGACTGCCACTCCTCTCAGGGCCCTGGATGTCAATAGCTCTGTTCTTCCCTAGCTAGCGCTGGGCTGTTTGGGCAGGGGGCTGCTGGGCAGGGGGGGGGGGAAGGCGGGGGGGGGGGAGGACAGGCTCCATTCCTGCCCCATGGGACTTGATGGGGACTGGGCCTCCTTCTCTGGGAGCTGTGTTGGGAAGCAAGCTTTGTCAGTGAAGTTCATCTTCAAGGTTAGGAAGATTCTTGGAGAATCAAAGAAGAGATCTGGCCTCACTGCCCAGGGAGGCCAAACCTGGAGAAGCAAAACCTCCCGCCTTTTTCCAGAGTCACTGATTGAGAGCTTCCAAGCGTGTGCACGTGTATCTGCTGTGTTGGCCTGCAGCTCCCCTCCCTCCCAGCGAGCAAGCCTTGGGTTCCTTTCTTTTCCCAGTCGTTTTGGTGGTGTTGATGGTGTGGGGGGGGGAGGGAGCGGAGTGCTTCCATTTTTGCTTCTCCCTGTCGGCCCTACTTTTCACACACTTACCAAGTCTCAAAGGGAACTCACAGGAGAAGGGGCAAGGAAGGGGAGAGCCTGTCCCTTCTCTCCCAAGAAACTTCCCCACTGTCCAGAAACAAAAGCACAATTCCCTTCCCTTGGGCTGAGAGGGGAGAAAAGAAAACAACCCACCATGTACCTTCCTAACAGAGTGGGGAGAGACGGTACAAGGCAAGAAATCCCCACAGAGGGTGGGGGGGGGGGGTTACATTACGCGTGGCTCCGGCTCTCTCCCCTTCCCCCTGGCATGGGGCATAAGGCAAAGAGGCAATCACCTTCGCAAGCACCCTCCTGTCTCCACCCCGCCCTGGCGCTCTGGCTAATTTTTATTGATTCCAGCGGTCAGTCAACTGTCAGGCTAGGTTTCAAGGGACCGTTTAGAGAGCGTGTGAGGGTCTGGCGAACAAATTCATTTAGGGAGCCCCGAGCAGCTCCTCCTTCCTCTCCTCCCTCCCTTCACCCCTGTGCCCAAGTTTCCTATAAATAATTGATCGACGACGCCGGGACTTGAAGCCAAGACAGTCGGTGGCTCAGAGGGACACACACACAGAGGTAGAGCAGGCGTGCGCTGGGGTTGCAAGCAGTCTGTACCGCGCGTGCTACCCGGCCGCCGCCATTCGCATAAAGTGGCCAAACGCGTTCCCCACCTTTTCGCGCCATCAGAGACACGGGCTCCGCACTCTGCCCCGGCTGGCAGAAGGAGCCCCACGGGGGCATCCCGGCAAAGCGTGAACCGCTCCCCGCTGCCACCCCGGTCTGTGCAGTTTTTCCACTCCGGGGATGGACCAGCGGCGGGTGTGAGCCACAGGCTCTCGCGCGCGCGCGCGCGCGCACACGCTGCGCAGGAGAAACCGAGGGCAGCCTGCGACTCTTCCCTACCTTTGTCGCCCAGGATGCCGTCGATGCTGTGCTTGGCTTTTTTCTCCCCGTCGTCTTCCTTCTTGTCAGCGTCGTCGTCCTCCTCTTTCTTCCCGAACTTGATTCTCAGCACGCGGCTAATCGAACTCACTAAACCTCAGAAATTCAAAGGCAAAAGAACGGAGTATAAGTTGTTGGGGCAAAGAGGCCGGCCGAGGCCCGGGCACGGGGGAGAGAGCCAGCCAGACCCCTGCCTGTCCTCACGCAGGCTTCGAGAGTCATTTGTACCGATCTAAGTAGCCACTTAGTGAAAGCGTGGTCACACCTGGGCACCCTTAAGACTTGGGTGCAGGCACTCTGCCTAGCGCATTCCGACAGGCTTCCTTGCACACCTGTGTGCATTCACACTCACTGCTTTGGGCCTCCCCAGGGTACCCCGACTCCTACTGCACCCAGCTCAGGTGTTGGTTCTGGTCTGGTATGCCTGGACACTAGAGGATGATGTCCTCACTTCTGGGCAGCTTGGTTTGGAGTCTCCAAATTTGGGACCCACTGAAGGCTGGCAGTGGCCAGAGAATGAAACAATGATTTTGAAACGCCCTTGGGTATTAAACTCTCTTATGGCAGGTCTCCCCCGTCCCCGGTCCCCCCTCCCACCCCACACTCTAGGCCACTTCTCCAAGAACACTCCTTGCCTGCCTTCTGGGTTAACTTTTTGTTTCCTTAACCTCTCACCCTCCCCTCCTTCTTCTCTCTCTTCCTCTTCTTTTTCTCTTTCTTCCTTCTTGTCTCTCCTTTCTTCACTTTCTCTCTTTCTTGCCATCTTCCTTTCTGTTTGGATTTACCCCTAGCGCTACCGTCTTTGCCTTTTTTGTTTGTTTGCTTGCTTGATTTTCTTCCCAAGTTTTCTCCAAGTCCCCTGTTAACCACACCCTCCTCCCCTGCCCCCCACAGCTGGGCCCCAGCACAGGGGAAGGGAGCCCAGGCCAGATCCGGGTCTAGGTCCGGGTCCTGGCAGGCCGGCTGCGGCTGACTCAGCTGCCTTCTCACCTGAGGGCACCGTGCTGCGGTCGCAGTGGCCATCCTTCAGCAGCCGGTCCCGAATCTCCCAGCTGAACATACCCGGATTCTCCCTCTTGTACTCCTCGATCTTCTTTTCCACGTCCGGGGTCGCCACCTGCTTCAGAGGTGCAGGTGGGAGAGTAGAAGGGGGGGGATGGTGGAATGGGTGACGAAAGGAAGGGAAATACTTTTAATACCAACTTCTCAAGAACCCCTGAGCTAGACTGGAGGCTCTATTCTTGCAACATACCTGTCCCCAGCTCCCAGGATGGCAACTGGGGGTGGTGGGGGGAGACAGAAGGGAGATAATAAAATTAAACCTAGTTAGGGCCCCTAGCCACCCCACCCCCCCATCCCAGACAAGACTGGGGAGAGCTCCCCTAGCGTGGTGTGGCAATTCCAGGTTAGGACAGATATGTGGACAGAAGAGAAATGGGCCATTACCCCTGAGGTCATGGACAACCCAGACTCAATTAGCCATCCCTGAAAGCTCCAAATAACGGGGATGTAATGGGGGGCAGCAGCACGTCTGGAAGGCAGGGTCACCCTTCCGCTGTGCTTTCCCCATGGAAGCACCTAGAAACCCCGGGGCTGCTGGATGTCACCAGATGCTGAAAGGGGATGCAGACTGGGTCCCCTGGCTAGGAAAGGCCTGTCTCCTCCGGCCTGGGTGGCAAAGACACTCACTCTGGGCTTGCTACCGCCGATGGCCCCAGGCCGGATGGACCCGGTCTCCTGGTAACGGCAGAGAATCTTAGAGACGCAGCCGTGGGAGACCCGAAGCTGGCGAGAGATGACGCAGGGCCGGATGCCATGATGGGCCATCTCCACTATCTTGTGACGGATGTGATTGGGCAGGGGTCGCCCGTTGATGAAGACTCCGCCAAGCTGATTGACCCGGCCTTGGCCGAGTGGGGTGGACACTGGAAGAAAGAGGGAGAGGTGAGAGAAGAGGGCAGGTGAAGAGAGGGACACTGCACTACCCCCCCACCCTCTTCAGCCAGGTTTCAGCCCCAAGACTTCACACAGCAGATCTCCAAGGTCTTATGCACATCTGGAGAAGCTGTGGCAGCTTAGAACCCGGAGACAATTGTTCCAAGGCTGAAGAAGGTCTTTGGGGAACACAGAAAGGCATCCGGATCGATTGCGGGATACCCTTCCTTGCTGCCCTCGAACTCCTGGCACCCAGCAGGGAAAGTAAACATACCTGGGCAGGTGTGTGTGTGTGTGTGCAAACACACCAAGAAAGGAAGGGAGAAGCTAAGGAAAAGGGCCAGGATGATGGACTCAGTGGAGTCTAGACATATCAGAAGCCATGGCTGTGAGTCCTCTAGGCTGCAGCTTGGGACACAAGCCAATAACCAGTCAGGTGTGGCCCATCCACGGGTCCCAGGCCACTGACTGACAGTCACAAGGGACCCATTTTATTTTATTGTTGGTTAAGCAGGACTGCTGGAGTCTTTGTATTTGCAGAATTTACGGCATCAACAGCAAGATTGTCCCATCCCAGGCCGGCTATCCCGCTAGGGCCACAGCCCAGGGGCTGGTGACATCATTCAGCGGGAGTTATCTCCTGGGGCACCTGACTGTCCTTTTGCTTCCAATCACTCTCCACGTGCAAATTTCGTTTTGGGATAATTTTTGGGGGTTGGTGAGGGGACACATTGTATTGTATCAACCGTACCCCGGGTTGGTGTCAGAAATCTGTGAATTATTCCTACCGGCTCTGCTGAAACACAGGCAGGCTAGAGTCTCAGGATGGAGGGGGGAAAAAAACCAACCAAGAGGCCCCTGGTGTGGGCCGGGGAGTGGGAGTGGGGCGGGGGAGAGAGAAGAAGGCTGGGACGCTTTAATGCAAAGTCTACACAATTTTCTCGCAGAAGGTTGGAGATGGAAGGAGGGGGACACCGGGTGCACTTAATCCAGCTTCTATCCCCCCCCCTCCCAATTTAGGGACTGGCGGCGGCGGAGAACTGTGAGATTAGACCGATTTCACAGCCGCCCGGATGGAGGGAGCTGAAGGTATAATTGGAAGGGAGGAGGCGAGGACCCGCAGCGGTTCCTGGGGGGGTGGGGGGGTGCGCGCCCATCCTCGTTCTCCGATCCCCCCACCCCCCACCTTCTCTTTGTAAAAGTCGGTGTCTGAAGACACCCTCGGATTTAATCAGAAATCGTGCGTCCCCGAATCTGAGTCACCCGGTCTCCGTGGCGGGCTATGCCATTAGCGCTGGAGAGCTCTCGAGCGCCCAACTTTATATTCAAGAGCCTCTTTAGCGACCAGCACTCGGCTCAACTCAGTATTCTGCGTCATGTTGGGCAAATATTGTTCTAATCCTCCGCGCCGTCCTCGGCCGCCTGCTTCACCGGCGGTGGCGGCCGGAGAGGCGCCCGCAAATCCCCGGGCTGCGCGCTCTCCCCGCCTGCGCGGCCGCTCGCGCGCACTTGATCACGGAGCCGCTCTCTTCGCCTCGCTCTAATTCAGGGGCCCGGCGCCATCTCGCTGCCCAAGGGGGGGGGGGCGCCTCCTCCTCCTCCTCCTCCACCTCCCCAGCTCAGATCGCGGGCTGCCCGCCCGCCCAACCCCCCCCCCCTCCCCGCCGCCTTCGCGCCCCTTCCCCAGGACAAGGAGGTGCGTGCGGTGGGGGGAAGCGGGGGTCCGTCTTACGATTGCAAGAACAAGCAAAATAAATACATAGAAGCCGCATACACGTCTAACTACTTCTCTAGGAATTCTAGACTATTCTCTCCTCCCGTGCCCCCTTCGGCTACAGGCCCAGAGCTCTCCGATTCGTTTAAAAGAGAACAAAACCTCGGGCCGCCCGGGCCGCCGCCGTGAGCTCCCGGCCCGGGTCTCCGAGCCGGGAACCCGCCCGCTCTCCCTTCCTTTTCGCTCCCTCCACTGCCCCGTTCCCTTCCCGCCTGGGGCGCACGCCCGCGGGATCGGGAAGACGCGTCCGCAAAGCGGCGCGTTTCCCCGGGTGTGCCCGGAGCCCGGCCTTCCAGAACGATCCGCTCGCTCGCTCGCTCGCGCGTCTCTCCCGGGAGACCCGCAGAGTTCCGAAGCCTGAGCGCACAAAGTTTGTTTTTTAATTGTTGTTGTCGTTGGTTTTTTTTTTTTGGAGGAGGAGAGAGAAGGAAATGGCTTTGCTACTAATGATCTCCAGCCAGTCTGCGGGCGGCCCGGGCGGCGGGGGGCGCGGGCGGCCCGGGCGGCGGGGGGCGCGGGAGCCCGGGCGCGGGGTCCCCGGCCCCTCCGCCGCGTTCGCACGCACAAAAAGTAGCGCGCGCCGGGGCCGTTTCGAAATAAAAGGGATCTGGGAGCCAGCGCAAACTCGGGGTGAAAGATCACCCCTCCGCGCCCCCGGAGAGGGGCCGAGGGCCGGGCGGCTCGCGGCGGCGTGGCCAGGGCTGGGGTTCACCGGACTCGCGGGGTCCGGGCGGCCGGCCCCGCCGGGATCCCCACGCCCCGCGGGCGGGCGCAGGCGGCTGCCGGTGACCCGCGAAGCCCTGGCCGCGGGTCAGCGAAGCCCACTTAGCGACGGACGCCTGTCGGCCCCCAGGAACGGGGATCCCCAACGCAGAAGGTGTGTGTGTGTCGGGGGGAGGATCGGGTCCCCGCGGGCTCCCGCCGGCGTCGCGGGGCGCGAGGGCGCGGCCGGGCCGGGCGCGGGCTCTTACCTTCCAGCGGGAACCCTGTGCGGGGATAGTTCTGTCCCGGGGCCGGCCGGATCATCCTGGGAACCGCGCCGGGAAGGGCCGCCATCCTCGCGCACGCCGGGGACGAATCCACAGTCGGCACCGGTCGCGTTCCGTCCGGACGTTCCTGTAACCCCTGCTGCGCTCGCTCTTTCCTCCTCCTCCTCCTCCTCCTCCTCCTCCTCCCCCTCCTCCTCCTCTTTTTCTTACCCTCTCCCCCCTTCCCTCCACGCGCGCTCCCTCCCCCACCCCACCCCGGCTGCAGGGGTGCGCGTGCAGAAGCTGGGGAGGGGGTGAGGCGGGGCGGAGGCGGGGTGGGGGCGAGCCGGGGAGGGAGGGAGGGGGGAGGGGGTGAAGGTGGCGACGGGGAAGTTCAAACAAACAAACACTCCAACCCCAAGTCCGTCTCCGCCGGCCCAGCGCCGCCAGAAGTTGTGCGGGCCGGTGGTGGTGCCCTGCGGAGCGCGGCTGGGGACGGGGTGGGGACCCGGGGCCCCCCCCAGGTGGAGCGGGCAACCCACTCGCTCCCGCGCTCAGGGCGAAAGTTCCTGACTGCGCTGCGGAGTGGATCTATTGGTGGAGGGGGGGTCTTTATTTATATATTTATTCTTTCGCTTGAGCTCTCCCCCTCCTCTCCCCCCCCTCCTCCTCCTCCTCTTCCTCCTTCCTCCTTCCTCTCCACGCCTCTTTCTGCTCCTCGCCCCGGCGCTCTCCCACCCGGTCCCCGGGAAGTCTGGAGGAGACCGCGGGAGCGCCTCCTCAGGTTTCAGGCTGGAGAGCAGGCGACAGGGAGCGGCAGAGTTGGGGAAGAGAAGAGGAAAAAACCAGGGGCAGGAGTGATCAGCTGGGTAAGTTGGGTAAGAGTGTCCAACTACAGGAGGAGGAGGAGGAGGAGGAAGAAAGGGAGGAGGGGGAGGAGGAGGAGGCAGACTCCAAGATCTGATAGGTTGGGACCTTTCTTTTATTCATGAACAGGGCAGGAGGCCAAGACGGAAGGGAGAGGAGGGCCAATAACGAAAAGAAATCACCAACGAATATTTTCCCCCTCATTTCTAATTCCCGGCTCAACCTCGATTTTTGGTGTGTGTGTGTGTGTGTGTGTGTGTGTGTGTGTGTGTGTGTGTGTGTGTGTGTGTGTGTGTTAGAGAGAGAGAGAGAAAATTTGAACATACACACACAACACAGAGGAAGTAGAACCCCAGGAGCTGGAGGTTAGGGGGAAAAGGAAAGTGGGGACAACTTTGTCCTAGTGTCTTCCTTCGATGGATGGACAGACCTGCATGCGTGCGCACGTGTGCGCACATGCATACACACACTTGCAGGTCACTCATAGCTGCAGGCCGCCATGGGTCCCAGCTCTGTGGGAAGCCTGTCTCCAGTTGGAACACATCTTTCTATGTTGCCGCGTCTGCTTGGGCCTTCCAAGGTAGTTCCTATCCCTCTTCTTATTCAACACACTCCAAAATCTCCCACTCCGGGGGAGACAGCCTGGGGGTGGGTGCGGGAGACCTCCAGGGAGGGATTATGACTTTCCCTAGGAGATGTAGGCGGCTCTGATTCCCCCGAGGCAAGACCATACCTGGGTTTGGAAAACTGTCTGCCCAGGGTTAGAGACATTTGTGTTCCTCTCCTCCCGACGCTCCCATCTCCAGTACGATGTGGAGAGGTGATCCTCCCCAGCCTACACCTGCCCCCCTGACCTGGGACCCTCTCCAGCTGGGAGCTGGGTGCCCAGTTGCTGCCGCTCGAGTCTCGGGGTCCATAGTTGTGGGGGACAAGTGGGAGAAAGCCAGTTAGAACTTGGTACCAACTCTGAATTCCTCCACTAGTGTGTGTGGGGTGTCCCAATTTGATTGAAAAAAAAAAAAAGTAGGAAACCAGAGGTGTCACAACCTTGCACTCTCCTCGGCCACGCCAACCGGTGGACCCCAGCCTCAAGACCTGATTCCTGGGGGCTTGAAACGCCCTCCCAGCGGGGCATGACGCCACAACTGTATTTCTTTTGTGTCCCCCTGGAAAGCGTGTCTCTGGCTGAAGGGCTGCAGGCTAGCTACAATAAAATTAACCCAGCCCTCAAACTCGGCCCCTGCCCTCCCTCCCTCTCCTGGGGTGAGGTCATTCCTGTATTGGCCTGGGGAGGGGGGGCTCTCTGCAGGCGGGTCCCCTCCCCTTCTCTTCACCTGTGACCTTTGCCCCCCTCAGTATGTGACAGACCCTCCTAGCTTCTAGCACCTGGGGCTCTTCAGAGTTGTTGGGGGGGGGGGGGAGAGGCTTTTTGGGACAGCTTGTTAAACTCAGGCTTCTAGAATTGAACGGGGAGAGGCGCGTGTTGGCTGGAGTTGGAGAAAAGAGGACACCAGGTGCTTTGCCTAGGCTGGCTGAGCAAAGGGGTGTCTCCCAAGATGCCTCCTGTGTGTGTGTGTGTGTGTGTGTGTGTGTGTGTGTGTGTGTGTGTGTGTACAGGGGCTTGAAATCAGAGTCTGGGTGCCATCCCTGAGCTTTTTCACTCAAGGCTGGTGTTCTACCACTTGAGCCACAGCTCCATTTTTTTTTTTGCTGGTTCCTTGGAGATTAGAGTCTCACAATTTTCCTGCCCAAGCTGGCTTCTAGCCATGATCCTCAAGATCTCAGCTTCCCCCAGAGTAGCTAGGATTATATAGACATGAACCATCAGCCCCTCCTGGCCCCCAAGATAGTTCTCTGTCCAGGGAAAGCGGCGGTGTGCTGGGGCTGTATGTGTTACGTGTGCGAATGCGCACCTATACCTGTAAGTAGATGCACACACGGAGAGGACACGTCGTCCATTTGTCCATTGTCCACCCACTGCTGACCGCGGCAGTGGCACTGTGGAGTGGGCCCAGGTGAGGGGAGAGGCATCTGGGTACAGGTTGGTTTCTGTGGGAGGCTATTTGGGGTTCAGCCATGGAAAGTGAGGTCTGTATCTGTGGAATCCACAGATGCAAACCCCCCACCCCTCAGGGTTGCGTCCACGAACAACTCTAGCCTGGCTCCAAGCCCTGATCAGGAAATGCGAAAAAGATCGAGTCGTGGTGAGGGGCCACCTGGCCAGGACACCCTGGGGTCTCTCCTGAAATCTCCTGGGAGGGATGAGCGCACTGCCCAGTCCCCTCGATCCTTGGAACTCTGCGGGGGCCACCTCCTCTTCTCCAGGCCAGCCCCCAGCCTTAGCTGCTGAAGGCCGGGGTGGGGGGTGGGGTCGCCGGGGGTCCTGGGCTGCCGCAGCAGCAGCTACAGAGCCAGGCCCGGTGTTTGCAGGGGGAGGATGCGGGCTTGTCTGTCGGAATGAGCGTGGCGGCGCTCGCCTGTTGGAGACCAATTTCACAAATGATTTTTGCAACAATTAAGAAGTGTGGCGGGGTGAAATGGCAATTTCACAACCAGCAGGAGAAAGGGGGGTGGTTTCACCTGAGACCTGGGGGTGGCCGCCGCTGGGTGGGGCGCGGAGACAGTGCTGGTCCCCACCTCACCGAGATCCACACCCTGGGCAGCTGTTAACCACTGTGACCCCCACTCCCAGCCCTCTGCAGGGCTCTGAGCCCCTCAATCGGGTGTCCGGCTGCAGTGGGCTCCAAGTCCATTACCCCCATCTCCCAGCCCTGTCCTGCCCCTCTGCCCTCTTTCTGTCCATCTGTCTCCTTTCTAAACTTTTTCCTCTCTCTCTCTTTCTCTCTCTGGGTCTCTGTCTCTGTCTCTGTCTCTCTCTCTGCTCCTCACACCCTGTGCTTCAGGCCCATCTTTCTCTGTTCTGCCTTTTCTCTGAGGGTTTTCTCTGCAACTCTCAGCCTGGTCCACCGCCCACCTCCCCATCACCATGGTTTCCAGAGGTATGCGTGGCCTCCAGGGCTCTCAGGGCTGGACCTCTCCAGGCCCCAAGTCCCTCGGACAGTCTCCCAGCCTCCATGGGGCTGGGCAAAGCCCTCAGGAAAGGGGGGTCGACCTACCCTCCTTGACTCCCTTCCTTCCCTCCTCCTTACCCCTTTCCCTGCTTCCTGTGCCCTCCTCCCTCTCCCCATCCTCTTCCTCCTGCCCTTCCTCCTCTCAATCGGAAGGTGCAGCCCCAGAACCTGCTTAGGGCCTCCCATCCCTCCTCCTCTTTCTTGTGATCCCCTACATTCCTCTTTTCCTGTCTGGTCTTCAAGTTCTGTCCCCCCCTCTCCTCCCTCCCTCTCCAATAATGCCAGTGAAAATCAGACCCCTCCAAACTCAATCGATTTCCAAATCAAACCTTTCCTAACTCAATGAAGCTAAAGAGGAAGAGAGACCCAAGGTGGAGCATCGGGGAGCCCAGGTTAAGTGTGGGTGGGGGACCCTGGGCAGCAGTGGTGGCTCTCTCCTCCCTGTCTCTCCGCAGTGCCTGTGGCAGGTCTTCCTGCCCAAGGTCACTGTCAAATCAGACCCCATGCAAAGAGCATTTACAGAGGTGATTACCCAACCCACCTTCCTGTGTGTGTGTGTGTGAAGATGGGGTTGATGCCAGGCCTGTTCTGCTCCTAAGCACTCCCCTGCTCTTCTTTGTGGGGAGGGCCAAAGGCTCCCACAGAATGAGTCTGGTGGGGGAGGGAGAGAAGAGGCGGGCTTGTTGAGGTCAGGGACACGCTATGCTGTTCACAAAGGAAGGACCTGTGCCGGCCCCCAGATCTTTAAGGATTGTTCGATTTTTCTCTTTTAGGAAGCAGTGTTCTTTTAAGGGTGGCACTGAAGTCCCCAACCATACCTGAACAGGAAGTGGGTTTCCAGCTTGACAGAAAACAATTAGAATGATTTGCATTGCATTCCAGTTTCCAAGGAAGAGAATAATGATCACAACAACTAGGTTTCTTGAAGGCTTACTGCTAAGTAGATTCCTCCTCCTCCTCTTCTCCTCCTTCCCCTTCCCCTCCTTCCACTGCCCCTCTTCCTCCCTCCTCCTCCCTCCTCTTCTCTCTTCCTCCTACCTCTTCCTCCCCTCCCTCCTCTCTCCTCCTCCTCCTTCCTCTTCCTCCTCTTCCCTCCTCCTCTCTCCTCCCTCCTTTTCCTCCTCCTCCTCCTCCTCTTCCTTCCTTCTTC